TCCTCTCTCCTCTTCCTCTTCCTCTTCCTCCTCTTTGTCCGCCTCTTCCACTTTCTCTTCTTCCTCTTCCTTTCCTTCGCTTTCTTCTGTGTCTTCTTCTCTGTCTTCTTCTTCTTCGTCGTCGTCTTCCTCCTCATCTTCCTCCTCCTCCTCCTCTTCTTCCTCCTCTTCCTCCTCTTCCTTCTCTTCTGCTTCCCCTTCTGCTGGCTCTTCTGCTGCTTCTCCTTCTGCTTCTTCTTTCTCTTCTTCCTACTCTTCTTCTTCCTCCTCTTCCTTCTTCTTCTTCTTCCTTCTTCACCTTGGGTTTTCTTGAGGGTAAACACTGCCCAACAACTCTGCTATTCGCTGAATTCAGACAAACCACAGCTTTTGCCCTCGAGAACACCCATGTCCCTAGGGAACTCCCAAGCCAGCTGTTTCCCATACCTTCCCGTCTCAATTCCCGTGCCAGCTCTGGCCCCGCCCAACCCCCACTCTACTGTGCCACGCGAGAAGTGTTTGTCTATTAGGCCTGGTCAGACCGGCAAGCCCCTACCTGGGCGAAAACGAGGCAGCCATGCGGTTCAGGTGTTGCATTGCTGCCTTTTTTAAGCACGTGCTGCACAATGGGTCCAGTAGGCCCAGACAAGCCTAGAAGATCCATGTGCACCATGCTGTGGTTTTCACTAGATTGGCATGGCACATTCATGGCTGTGCAACGAGGATGGAACAGCTACCATTGTGCATTCATTACTCGACCGAGTACGACTGCATGAGCACGAACAACACATTCTGAACCATAGTCATATGTATATCCTTATCAGATTGCCACAGGTAGACTACCTGGAACGCTATACAGTCGAGTACACATTTTACCCATCTGCGTCAGTTGTACTAAAGAGCCGTATCTTCTTTGTGGAGGATGCCTTTCACGTAACAATATCTTTGCACTGCTGTGTTTTCTTCGTCTTCTATTTTTTCGTTTGGGTCCTTTCTGTTTTTTTTTTGTGTGGTTTGTTTATCTCACTTTAGCCAGTGAAGTGCACACTCTGCAAGCGCCTTGGGCAGTTGTCAGGCTTAGTTGCACACTACTTAGCTGGTGTCCTAGCACATGAGATTGTACAGGCACGAGGTACACTGCTGGGCATATTAACTGTGTCAAGCACTTGCATCGGCACAAGCACTTGAAATGCGTAGAACGTTGAT